TGAGACCATCCATGTGTGGGGTTGCTTTTCAACCAAGGGAGTGGGCTCTCTCATAATTCTGCCCAAAAACACTGCCATGAATAAAGAATGGTATCAAAACGTCCTACAAGAGCGACTTCTTCCAACGATCCATGAGCAACTTGTTAATGATCCGTGCATTTTCCAGCATGATGGAGCACCATGTCACAAAGCAAGAGTGATAAAGAAGTGGCTCATTATATTGAAATTTTGGATCCGTGGCCAGTCAAATCCCTGGAACACAATCCCATAGAGAACCTGTGGTCAGTTCTCAAAAGGTGAGTGAACAAGAAGAAGCCCACAAATTGTGATCAACTCTGAGAACTAATAAGGCAAGAATGGATCGCCATCAGTCAGGATTTGACCCAGAAGCTAATATCCAGCATGCCAGAGCGAATTGCAGAGGTTATGAAGGAGGGAACATATAATTACTTGGTTATGATACTTTGAACCAATTATTATTGCCCCATTGTTATTGTATTTATAAATATGGTCATATTAATGCCTGTTTTTCACTTATTTTTATTGCTAAAAAATATCAGATTACTCTATTTTCAAAATAATCAGTAGATAACTTGATTACCGAAAAAATCAATAGTTACAGCTTTAGATTAGTTAAAACATTTCAAAATACAACTGCATTGTTTTGCAGTTTGTGATTAAAATTTCTTTAAAATAGTATTAAAATATTGTCTTGTTCCATTGAACCAAGTATCTATATTTTGTCTCATCTGCTGAGCTAAGTGTATTGTCACACCCCTAGTGTCTGTCATTGCATGCTTTGCATGTGCTGCACTTTATTTGTACCATGTTGTTTTATTAGTTTATTCATTAGAATTTGAAAGATAATAACGATATTGTTTGATAAGTGAGATCACTGATTTTAGTCCTTGAAAACCAAAAAAGTAGTGTCCTTGAAAGTCCTGGAATTTCATTCTTCTTTATCTGTTCGAACCCTGGTCATAGTAGACATCATAATTGAGGATGGGTGAGTGACTGGAGTATTATGTAGTATAAAATCTAATGTTGTGAGTTTACTCAACTAGTGCCCCTCCCCTCCCCCCAGTGGAAGGAAGTGATAGGCAACTTTTTGTTCTATTTAAAAAGAGACTTTCATCTTTGTTTTAAATTACTGTAGAAGTTATGCACTCACAGCCCTAAGAGTTAGCAACTCAGCAAGCTGCACCATAAATTCTGTGGAGAGGGGGGATGCTGCTTCAGAGTTGTAAACAGCCATGTCTGCCCTCCCTCTTAGGACACAGTTTTTGTCTGTTTCCTGTGTTGACCTTAAAGGATGCTGATGTAATCTTTACATTTGCGTCAACATCAGAATCTCTATCTCCAAGTTATTTTGCATAGCTTCATAGTTTATTTTACCTTTTAAGGAATATCAGCTATACCACTGTATGCGGCAGATGACTGACAAAACATTAGTGTACTCACTCATCTTTCTTTTACAAACAGCAAGTGATCCTTGATCCATCTACATTTGGACCAACAATGTTCTTTAACATTAATTAATTAACTGCTATTCCTACATGGGCTAAGGATTGCTTTTGTTTCTGTCAGTTCAAGTGCTGTGGCAGTAACGGCTCCTTTGATTGGGTGGAGAGTGTTTGGATCCGCTCCGTTGAGGCCGACAGTCGGTTGGTTCCTGATAGTTGCTGTAAAAGCCCAGTCATAAAGCTGTGCGGTCGGAGAGATCACCCCTCGAATATCTATAAAGTAGAGGTGAGTGTACCCCAAATTACATTCTTGCACTAAACAAAAGGTGAAATGGTTTCTGGTGGTTCTGTTGGACAATACAGGCACTTTCACACATAAAAACGTACAATTGCTAAATTAACTTTCCCAGTAAACCTACATATGCTTTTCTTACAAAGCTCTCTGCACTTAGATGTATAGCCACCACTCATACATGGGGCTGGGTAAATGATCAAATATTTCCTAAAGGAGTGTCATTAAACTAGTGAGAAGGATGTGTATTAACTAATCATCAGCTGGTGAAGCTGTGCTAGTTTTGAGTAGGTAGCACAAATCAAAGTGGAAGCGAACACTTAAAAAAAAAAAAAAAAAAATACCCTTTTGGAGCCATATTGTGCCAACTTTATTCTTTTTTTCTACTTAGTTATCTTTGGTTGAGCACCCCACTTGAGCTATTTGCTGGTGATATGCATGTTTTTTTTTTAAACTGCAGTCCGTAAGTTTTGCTTCTTTGTCGCCATCTCTGTTTGAAGACCTGCAATTGTAGCTATTTGCGGAATTATCTTGCGTGGGTTGTGCCCACGCACAATGTGTGGCTGTCAGTCACCGCACCATTGTGGATTCTGCACTTTGTATTCACAGATTCTACGTCTTGAATGTATGACCCAAATAAGAGTTTTCACTGGAGAATGTCATCTGAACAAGTAACAACTGTTACTTTTGTTCTGACCAACTGAGGACTGGTCGCATTCTTTTTTTCAGTAGCCACTTCTCAGTGCGAATTCTTTTGTTTTTGACTACGGGTGAATCTCCAGTCACTGATGATTGCCGTTTCGACCTTTCTGGATTACAATCCGGCATTTATTCCAGCTGCTGTTAGAAAAGGCTATAAACGATCTTTCACCTGCAGCATCCTCACGTATGATGTAGCATACTAGCCGGGACAACTTCTTTGTTTACAGACGTGACGTAATGACGCAGCGCCATGCTCGAATTTCCAGCGAAAACCTACCCGTACCACTCAAATTAAAAAACTTTATTGCAAGCTTACCGTTGTGAATCAAGCTAAAGCAAGGTGATGGTTTTAAACACTGGCGGGTTATGTACTTGCTCAAATTTATTTTGGATAATTTTTAACCAAAAAAGTTACGGACTGCAGCTTTAAAGGAGACATATTATGCCCCTTTTTACAATATGTAATATACGTCTCTGGTGTCCCCAGAATGTGTCTGTGAAGTTTCAGCTCAAAATACTCCACAGATCATTTATTATATCATTTTGAAAATGCCTATTTTGAGTGGAAGCAGAAACATGCTGTTTTTCAGACCTGTCTCTTTAAATGCAAATGAGCTGCTGCTCCCCACCCCCTTTTCCAGAATAGAGCTGCACCATTACAGCTCGGACCTTGTAAAAAAACATCTGTTTTGGTTCTGATTATCATGTTTATTGCGCTGAAATCATGCGTTTTAAACAATATTAGTTAAAAATTCTGATATACGGTTTTCTGAGCGCACACGGACAGGTGCGTGCCACCGGACAGCATGTGAGTACTAAACTAAGTTCTCATTCACACACAAGTTTACATTAAAAACACACGAGTTACAAAAACAGTCGGTTATGTCTGTGAAGGTAAACAGCTGGGAAATAAATCGCATGTTTATTTTAGATCTGTGTGGCAGCAGCAATATACATTAAATAAGTCAATAAATCCACTGCTGTCTTTTCTCCTCTGAGGCTGGGACTCTAAATAGTGTTCTGTGCTCGTCAGTGCAGCCAAAGGCAGAACAGTTAGCATGTTTTGCTCAAACTTTCGCCATGGCATTAGAGCTGGTACACCGTTGTCGCTTGCAAAATCATAATGGTGGTGCCATGGGTGGAAATCAGACGCACTCGTTTTTTCAGACGCTTGGAGAAAAAGGCTTACCAAAACAACGTTACTGGGTTAATCTTTTTCACGTTTCCTTGGTTGGTAGATGCACCGGGGACCTGATTATAGCACCTAAAACCTGGAAAAGTCAGATTTTCATGATATGTCATCTTTAAGTAACAAATGCCACTAGGTTAAAAACTAATTTAAGATTAACAACTGTTTGTTTCCACATTTTCAAACCATAGTTTGATCTGTGTGTGTAAAAAAAAAAAAAAATACCCTTTTGGAGCCATATTGTGCCAACTTTATTCTTTTTTTCTACTTAGTTATCTTTGGTTGAGCACCCCACTTGAGCTATTTGCTGGTGATATGCATTTTTTTAAACTGCAGTCCGTAAGTTTTGCTTCTTTGTCGCCATCTCTGTTTGAAGACCTGCAATTGTAGCTATTTGCGGAATTATCTTGCGTGGGTTGTGCCCACGCACAATGTGTGGCTGTCAGTCACCGCACCATTGTGGATTCTGCACTTTGTATTCACAGATTCTACGTCTTGAATGTATGACCCAAATAAGAGTTTTCACTGGAGAATGTCATCTGAACAAGTAACAACTGTTACTTTTGTTCTGACCAACTGAGGACTGGTCGCATTCTTTTTTTCAGTAGCCACTTCTCAGTGCGAATTCTTTTGTTTTTGACTACGGGTGAATCTCCAGTCACTGATGATTGCCGTTTCGACCTTTCTGGATTACAATCCGGCATTTATTCCAGCTGCTGTTAGAAAAGGCTATAAACGATCTTTCACCTGCAGCATCCTCACGTATGATGTAGCATACTAGCCGGGACAACTTCTTTGTTTACAGACGTGACGTAATGACGCAGCGCCATGCTCGAATTTCCAGCGAAAACCTACCCGTACCACTCAAATTAAAAAACTTTATTGCAAGCTTACCGTTGTGAATCAAGCTAAAGCAAGGTGATGGTTTTAAACACTGGCGGGTTATGTACTTGCTCAAATTTATTTTGGATAATTTTTAACCAAAAAAGTTACGGACTGCAGCTTTAAAGGAGACATATTATGCCCCTTTTTACAATATGTAATATACGTCTCTGGTGTCCCCAGAATGTGTCTGTGAAGTTTCAGCTCAAAATACTCCACAGATCATTTATTATATCATTTTGAAAATGCCTATTTTGAGTGGAAGCAGAAACATGCTGTTTTTCAGACCTGTCTCTTTAAATGCAAATGAGCTGCTGCTCCCCACCCCCTTTTCCAGAATAGAGCTGCGCCATTACAGCTCGGACCTTGTAAAAAAACATCTGTTTTGGTTCTGATTATCATGTTTATTGCGCTGAAATCATGCGTTTTAAACAATATTAGTTAAAAATTCTGATATACGGTTTTCTGAGCGCACACGGACAGGTGCGTGCCACCGGACAGCATGTGAGTACTAAACTAAGTTCTCATTCACACACAAGTTTACATTAAAAACACACGAGTTACAAAAACAGTCGGTTATGTCTGTGAAGGTAAACAGCTGGGAAATAAATCGCATGTTTATTTTAGATCTGTGTGGCAGCAGCAATATACATTAAATAAGTCAATAAATCCACTGCTGTCTTTTCTCCTCTGAGGCTGGGACTCTAAATAGTGTTCTGTGCTCGTCAGTGCAGCCAAAGGCAGAACAGTTAGCATGTTTTGCTCAAACTTTCGCCATGGCATTAGAGCTGGTACACCGTTGTCGCTTGCAAAATCATAATGGTGGTGCCATGGGTGGAAATCAGATGCACTCGTTTTTTCAGACGCTTGGAGAAAAAGGCTTACCAAAACAACGTTACTGGGTTAATCTTTTTCACGTTTCCTTGGTTGGTAGATGCACCGGGGACCTGATTATAGCACCTAAAACCTGGAAAAGTCAGATTTTCATGATATGTCATCTTTAAGTAACAAATGCCACTAGGTTAAAAACTAATTTAAGATTAACAACTGTTTGTTTCCACATTTTCAAACCATAGTTTGATCTGTGTGTGTGTGTAAGTGTGTAAGAGAGAAAGAAACATTGTTTCAGAGATAAATTTGACCTTTCCAGTTCAATTGTTCAGATTCAAGTGAGATTTGTCATTCCTCCATATGTGGGAACACACAAAAGGCCGTGCCTCACAGGACCACTGCTAGTACACCGTTGTCGCTTGCAAAATCATAATGGTGGTGCCATGGGTGGAAATCAGACGCACTCGTTTTTTCAGACGCTTGGAGAAAAAGGCTTACCAAAACAACGTTACTGGGTTAATCTTTTTCACGTTTCCTTGGTTGGTAGATGCACCGGGGACCTGATTATAGCACCTAAAACCTGGAAAAGTCAGATTTTCATGATATGTCATCTTTAAGTAACAAATGCCACTAGGTTAAAAACTAATTTAAGATTAACAACTGTTTGTTTCCACATTTTCAAACCATAGTTTGATCTGTGTGTGTGTGTGTGTAAGTGTGTAAGAGAGAAAGAAACATTGTTTCAGAGATAAATTTGACCTTTCCAGTTCAATTGTTCAGATTCAAGTGAGATTTGTCATTCCTCCATATGTGGGAACACACAAAAGGCCGTGCTTCACAGGACCACTGCTATATATTTAAACGTATATAAACATATAACCTATATAAACCTACACATAGCTAACCTGTTGGTAATTTGACTATACATATACTTTACATAAATACTTTATATAAAACTTGAAATACTCTTGATTTTTGCTTTGTCACATTGTTTTTATTTTCAGGGTGGCTGCATCACAAAGCTGGAGAACTTCATTCTGAATCACTTGCAAATCATTGGTGCAGTGGGGGTGGGCATAGCCTGTGTGCAGGTCAGCCAAAGCACTACAGTGTTCTTTTCATCTTTTGTCATGTAGTTGTATAAATGCTACTATATTTAAATATGAAATTAAAAGCATGCATGGGTACTTTTTATGGCTCTCTTTTTACCAACACTTGTTTTTCCGTACTTATGGCGCTTGTTGTTAAGCATGTATTCGTCAGATATAAATGTATGATTATATTTATGACCTCTTAACCTGCATGGACAGTGTTATTATGTAGATAAATTACTAAATTTAATGGAGTAAAAAAAAGCCATTTACAAACATTCACAGTATATCAAAAGTGCTTTTTTCTGTAATCTTTTTTTTTTCCTTAATGGCACTGTTCTCATATGTTGTAACCGCTTTCTAAGTAACATAGTCCTTTGCATTTAGAAAGGTGTTTTGTAGACACAATTCCTGTATAAAGACTGTTTGAGTTATGTGTGTATATATAGGATTACAAGAGTGTAGAACATCTTAATTCTTAGATTGCATTATAGCCATTGTCAATTTTTGAGAATAACACAAATATTAGTTTTCACAAAGTCTGCTGCCTCAGTTTTTATGATGGCAATTTGCATATACCCCAGAATGGTATGAAGAGTGATCAGATGAATTGCAAGTAATTGCAAAGTCTGTCTTCGTCATGAAAATTAACTTAATCCCAAAAACATTTCCACTGTATTACAGCCTTGCCACAAAAGGACCAGCTGACATCATGTCAGTGATTCTCTCATTAACACGGGTGAGAGTGTTGATGAGGACAAGGCTAGAGATCACTCTGTCATGCTGATTGAGTTACAGTAACAGACTGGAAGCTTTAAAAGGAGGGTGGTGCTTGAAATCAATGTTCTTCCTCTGTTAACTATGGTTACCTGCAAGGAAACGTGCAGTTATCATTGCTTTGCACAAAAAAGGATTCACAGGCAAGGATAATGCTGCTAGTAAGATTGCGCCTAAATCAATCATTTATCGGATCATCAAGAACTTCAAGGAGAGAGGTTCAATTGCTGTGAAGAAGGCTTCAGAGCACCCAAGAAAGTCCAGCAAGCACCAGGACCGTCTCCTAAAGTGCGGGATCGGGGCACCACCAGTGCAGAGCTTGCTCAGGAATGGCAGCAGGCAGGTGTGAGTGCATCTGCACGCACAGTGAGGCCAAGATTTTTGGAGGATGGCCTGGTGTCAAGAAGGGCAGCAGAGAGAACCCACTTCTCTCCAGGAAAAACATCAGGGACAGACAGATGTTCTCCAAAAGGCATAGGGATTGTATTGCTGAGGACTGGGGTAAAATCATTTTCTCTGACGAATCCCCTTTCTGATTGTTTGGGGCATTATTGGGAAATAAAGCTTGTCCGGAGGAAAAAAAGGTGAGCGCTTCCATCAGTCCTGTGTCATGCCAACAGTAAAGCATCCTGAGACCATTCATGTCTGGGGTTGCTTCTCAGCCAAGGGAGTGGGCTCGCTCACAATTTTGCCTAAAAACACAACCATGAATAAAGAATGGTACAAAAACATCCTCCGAGAGCAACTTCTCCCAACCATTTCTATTCCAGCATGCTGGAGCACCTTGCCATAAGGCAAAAGTGATAACTAAGTGGCTCGGGGAATAAAACATCGAAATTTTGGGTCCATGGCCAGGAAACACCCCAGACCTTAATCCCATTGAGAACTTGTGGTCAATCCTCAAGAGGCGGGTAGACAAACAAAAGCCCACAAATTCTGACAAACTCCAAGCATTGATTATGCAAGAATGGGCTGCCATCAGTCAGGATGTGGCCCAGAAGTTGATTGAGAGGGGCGAATTGCAGAGATCTTGAAAAGGAAGGGTCAACACTACAAATACGGAGTCTTTGCATAAACTTATTGTAATTGTCAATAAAAGCCTTTGACACTTATGAAATTCTTGTAATTATACTTCAGTATACCATAGTAACATCTGACAAAAAGATCTAAAAACACTGTAGCAGCAGACTTTGTGAAAATTAATTAATATTTGTCATTCTCAACTTTTGGCCATGGCTGTACAGTGGGGTGACCGTCGTACTAACAAAATCTGTCAGTGGGGGGGGGAAATAGGTTTTTAGCATCTATTTATGCCCATAGTATAAGAAAATCAAGCTGCATTTTCAAATATTTAGCAAGTGAACTCCTTGTTGTTATTATTATCCCCCAGCTGTTATGATGAACTGTTGCTTTCAGTAGAGGAAAAAAATGGTTATTCAATACTTGTTTGGGTCAAATAATTTTATCTAAGATAGTGATGAAAATGACATCCATATTCTTTTCTTTGTTTGGTATGAAGCTTAGTCTGGAAGCACAGCACAAAGTTGTTCAACCCTCAAGGATTGAACCAAGATTAAGTTTCATGAGCATTGAATGATTCCTGAAACTCGTGAGCAAAAGGTACTCGGATACATTTCAGAAGAAGCAATGTTGGAAGTCAGACTATTTTAAAGAATTGAAAGAATAAAATAAGGCCAAAGTGTGATGTAAAGATAACATCAGTTGCTGCACTTTAGTGACAAATGTCATGTTTAAGTGTTGAGTTCAAAGAATCATCCCAGAATTGTCGACATAAAGCAAGTTGGATGTCTTTCATCACCAAACATTCTTCTTTAGAAGTAAGTGTAAGTAGACAAGGAAGGAACTACACCATATAAAACTGCCCAGACATGAGAGGAAAGCGGTCATAAATGTAGTCCTAAATTTACATCTGACAATACATGGTTGACGCATCCTGCCATGTCAATCAGGGTTCATAAATTAAGGGCTTTAAATCATAAATTTAACACGTTACATGCTATAATTGAGTAGTTCTGTCTATATTGTTATTTTTGCCATGACCATATGTACATTTATGATATTGTTTGGAATTGTATTAATATCAGGCTTTTCTTCTTTTGTGCGCCCTTTCAGATTGTTGGCATGTTTTTCACCTGCTGTCTGTACAGGAGTCTGAAATCAGAGCCATACTGAAGAGACCGCTCAACTACAGCAATAATCAGTGACCATCATTCTCTACAGCATTTTTTTGTTTCACAAAAATTTAAATAGATAGGAAATAATTAAAGGTTCTGCATACCATCAAATCAGTTCCAACTATCCACAGGCACAGACAGACATATACAGTAATAAATATAGTGTTTTATGATTTTAAACACATTAGGTATTACCGAGTTAGAAAGATTGTTCTAATCTTTTTTGTAAGTGGCTTTATTGTTCTTATCAATTAACTTAAGTTTGGACTGTATTTTATATATGAAACTTTTTATGCTTTTTTTTTCTTTGTTTGTTTGTACTCCCAGATCCTCAATCAAAATATAAATCCTCTGCCACAATACCTTTTGTTTTTGGTCCAATTAATCCTGCTTTGTAATTTATGGAGCACCTTGCCATAAGGCAAAAGTGATAACTAAGTGGCTCGGGGAATAAAACATCGAAATTTTGGGTCCATGGCCAGGAAACACCCCAGACCTTAATCCCATTGAGAACTTGTGGTCAATCCTCAAGAGGCGGGTAGACAAACAAAAGCCCACAAATTCTGACAAACTCCAAGCATTGATTATGCAAGAATGGGCTGCCATCAGTCAGGATGTGGCCCAGAAGTTGATTGAGAGGGGCGAATTGCAGAGATCTTGAAAAGGAAGGGTCAACACTACAAATACGGAGTCTTTGCATAAACTTATTGTAATTGTCAATAAAAGCCTTTGACACTTATGAAATTCTTGTAATTATACTTCAGTATACCATAGTAACATCTGACAAAAAGATCTAAAAACACTGTAGCAGCAGACTTTGTGAAAATTAATTAATATTTGTCATTCTCAACTTTTGGCCATGGCTGTACAGTGGGGTGACCGTCGTACTAACAAAATCTGTCAGTGGGGGGGGGAAATAGGTTTTTAGCATCTATTTATGCCCATAGTATAAGAAAATCAAGCTGCATTTTCAAATATTTAGCAAGTGAACTCCTTGTTGTTATTATTATCCCCCAGCTGTTATGATGAACTGTTGCTTTCAGTAGAGGAAAAAAATGGTTATTCAATACTTGTTTGGGTCAAATAATTTTATCTAAGATAGTGATGAAAATGACATCCATATTCTTTTCTTTGTTTGGTATGAAGCTTAGTCTGGAAGCACAGCACAAAGTTGTTCAACCCTCAAGGATTGAACCAAGATTAAGTTTCATGAGCATTGAATGATTCCTGAAACTCGTGAGCAAAAGGTACTCGGATACATTTCAGAAGAAGCAATGTTGGAAGTCAGACTATTTTAAAGAATTGAAAGAATAAAATAAGGCCAAAGTGTGATGTAAAGATAACATCAGTTGCTGCACTTTAGTGACAAATGTCATGTTTAAGTGTTGAGTTCAAAGAATCATCCCAGAATTGTCGACATAAAGCAAGTTGGATGTCTTTCATCACCAAACATTCTTCTTTAGAAGTAAGTGTAAGTAGACAAGGAAGGAACTACACCATATAAAACTGCCCAGACATGAGAGGAAAGCGGTCATAAATGTAGTCCTAAATTTACATCTGACAATACATGGTTGACGCATCCTGCCATGTCATCTCGTTATTACGAGAAAAGATGTCGTTAAAACGACATAATTGAGTGGAAAAAATAATGTGTGCGGCAGCAATGCGTCACCGTAGTTAACAGACTGTTGCTAACAGTGGTTCCCAAACTGGGGTACGTGAACAAAATGCAGAGTTTTGCGGTGTTTCGTGAACGAATCGTTCGCGAAAGTCATTGATTCAATGATTCATTTATAAATACACCCACTTGCTTAGTTACTGAATGAACAAATGACTCGATGACTCATGCATTAAGACTTTTTTATCATCATTGCATATTATTAATATATTGAACTTTTTTTTTTAAACATTAATATTCTATTTATAAAGATAAAAAATGCATTGGAAAGTCAATTTAGGGGAAAAGGTGCAGTCTAAGTGGAAGAGAGGGTGTAGCCTACGCAGAAGATTCAAGATTTTTATTTGTCACATACATGGTTATATAGAGCAGTGTTTCCCAACCGGGGTGCCGCGTCTATCGAGAGCAGGGGTGCCGTGTAAAAATTTTTTTAAATATTTTTAAATTGCTAAAATGTTCAAAAAAGCATATATTATATAATATCCATTTCTGATGTCGCCAATAATTAGAGATGCACTGAAATTCGGCAGCCGAAAATGAGTTCACCGCTCAGGTTTTACTTTCACGTGGTGTGACACTCTGCGTATTATCCCGCTCTATGCGTGTGCGCTCCACTGAGTCGCTCCACTCGTATACCGTTCATGCTCATCGGAAATCGTTCGCGAAAGTCATTGATTCAATGATTCATTTATAAATACACCCACTTGCTTAGTTACTGAATGAACAAATGACTCGATGACTCATGCATTAAGACTTTTTTATCATCATTGCATATTATTAATATATTGAACTTTTTTTTTTAAACATTAATATTCTATTTATAAAGATAAAAAATGCATTGGAAAGTCAATTTAGGGGAAAAGGTGCAGTCTAAGTGGAAGAGAGGGTGTAGCCTACGCAGAAGATTCAAGATTTTTATTTGTCACATACATGGTTATATAGAGCAGTGTTTCCCAACCGGGGTGCCGCGTCTATCGAGAGCAGGGGTGCCGTGTAAAAAATAAGAATAAAATAAAATGCACAGGACAGTATACTGTAGACTTAATAAACATTAAGATGAGCAGGAATGTACAAGAGAAGAATGTGCAAACAGGTTGTACAGGGTAGTTACATAGCAGCAATAGAGTTAAAAAAAGTAAATAAATAAAATATTACAGAAAATGCTGTGTGCAAGTGGCAATGTCAGTATATTAAGTGTCTTACTGATAATTAAGTGAAGTCATTACTAGCTAGGTAACAGACTGAACAGAAATGCCTCGGGGGGTACTCCACTCTAAAAAGTCTGGGAACCACTGATGTAGAACATTCTGTCCTGTGCAACAAGTGATTAATTTGATATTTTCAGGTACAGCAGTTAGTTTGAAATAAAAGTTTGTTTAACAGTGGAAATTGAGTCTCACATTATTTAAACATTATTCAAAACATTAATGGTGAACATTTTCGACTTTATAAAATTATTCTCTCAAGTCTTGGCGATCGGCCCCTATTAAACAATAAAGAAAGTAAGACATATTTTTCTTATAGGCCTACATAGTTTAGTAGCCTACTATTCTTTTTGGCAGAATTGATCATTAATCAACTTAATTATTTCCTGGATTTTGTATCACCATAGTCCCTAAATATATGTACATGCAAGAAATGGGATTCAAATCGAAAACATTTTCCCCCATTTTGTGTGCCCCCCCAAAGTTACACCCTTGCCGACAAATACATAAAAAATTATGTCAAAATACCATATTATGTCAATATATGGAGAGTATCCTCGAAAAAACTGTCGGTTATGTCTTAAGTGAAAGTAGAAAGTGGAGAAAGAAATCGGATGTGTATCATTATAATGGATTCATTGCCTCTTAAAGTGACCGCACCTAATTTACTAGCTGCTGTAATGTTAATCCAAGAAAATAATAGAAAGCAAATCATTCACTGCTCTTGACTGAATTACTTTCTTAGTTTCTTTAATTGCTAATGTAACCTTTTTACACCACAGACTGAACAAAATTAAGCATTGCTTGGTAATTGGTCAACAAAATATTGATAGTTGTGTAAATATTGTCATACTAACAGTTGTCTGAATTTTTGGTTGATCGTAATCCATTAAAGTTATCTGACATTATCAAGATGAATTTGTTCTGACACAGTTTAACTCTGAGTTCTTGTCATATTTTATTACCATTTTCTAAACTCTAGCAAATAAACTGTGATAATGTGAGAAATGGGCCCACTGGTACAACCTGCACTGGGGCCCCGCAAACCCCAGCCCTGCGCATAGCACAGCAGTGTAGCACACATTGATTGGAACATCACAGACAGGCAGAGAGCCACAGAAGTGAAGCCCTCCCTCCCTTTCCAGTTGTGTTTGTCTTGGTGTGGAGGTGAGTGGTGATGAACAAAAGACTAAGCTACCTGTGCCTTGAATTTACAGCTAATTATACAAAAAAAGCAAATATAGTTAATTTGTCTTGCTAACCTCCGTGACTCATGAGCTACCATGTAATAAGTTAGCTAAAGTTTAGCTAAGGCAATATATCATGGACATACAGGCTAACTTAATGGAGAAACAACAGCTGAATACAGTCAAATTAATAATGACATCAGAATCGCCACTTTGATATGCAAATCAGGCGTTAAGTAATTCAAATGTTCTAATTTCCATACATTTGACACAAGGCATTGCAGATGAATAGGATAAACAAAATAACTAAAGCATATCACCACAGAACTTCCCCAGCTATTAGTTAGTCTTTTCCCTTGAAATGTTATGTTTAAATATGCAGATAGCTTGTGTTGGTTAATTTAGAAGAAATCTACAGAAGCAAACAGAGGAGGGTAGTAGGCTTAAAACAAACACCTTAATGTGTATTTTGGAAATTTCCTTCCCATTAGAGCAAAGGAAGTCATGGAAGCAAAATAGACCAAAATCTCAAAATTGAACAGTACATGAAGTGTCCTGACTTCTACCTTAAACAGTAAATTCATAATTTTGATCTGAGGCTCCTCATCTAATAACTATCCATTCTATTAGTATGTTGTATCCTGATAGATCTTAACAGCCCTCCCTCAAATGTGAAACAAAGCTTTTGTCACCATCTGTGTGTGTGCATAATTATAACAACATTGTGAACTGATTATTTTGTAAACATCTGTTGAAAAATAAAACAAAATGAAACAATTAGGGGAGTGTGAGGAAATTTAAATAAATTGGTAAGTAAGTCAGAGTTGTGTTAATATATTTAAAGTTTTGTTTAGAAAAAATGTAAATAAATATGAGAAGTACCCTTTTTTCCACTTGAGCTCCTGCCCCTCAAAATGTCTGTGTATGTCTCTGGTAGCTGTGATTTTTCACGAACCGTTGTGACTTCCGTAAAAAGGTGACGTCAGAACTACTCAGTCACTGCCTTCAGTCACCACCCCGAGCACTGCCCACAATCCTATTCTCCTTTTGCCAAACCCCCAGACAACATCACGTCCATGCCATTGCTGAGCAACAACAACACGGAAACATGTCGAGAAAACGCTGTTCAGTCTGGATGTCAGGAAACTACATCATTGCATAGTAGGGCTGTGACGGTTGCTGTGACAACCGCGTCAACTGTTGTCTATTGCCACTGGCGGTAGTGCACGTGACGTCACACACTCTATAACAAGCATAATACAAAGTTTTG